ATAATAATATTCTCAGTGTTATTATCCATTATGATAAATAACAGTCGAGAAGTACAACTTGGCCAAGGGACAACAATAATAATTGACAATAATATTACTATAAAAACAAAGTAATAACGAAAAGTATAATAATATTCTCATAGTATTTATTATCTATCATGATAAAAATGTCTAAGATAGTAAGACTTTTATAGACTTGACTCAATATTAGTTTGAATTAGAAGCTTTGTGAATACCATTGACCGACACTAAAGATAATAATAACAATAATAATAACAATAGTAATAATAATAATAATAATAATAATAATTGTCGTAACGAAGTAACAAAGTCGAATAGTAGTAACGTAACAATAGGTGTTTCTATTGACGATATTATCTCGAGTAAAAAGAATTCCTTTTTTTTTCCCCCCTTTTTCTATTATTTTCTCTCTCTCTCTCTCTCTCTCTCTCTTTTCATTTTCTTTTGTTTCTCTCGTTATTTTTACAGAGTCCAGGACGTCCGTTTGACGTTGGAGGGCATAGAATAGAATACGAGGCCAGCGATGAGGCCGGTTGGTCGAGCAAGTGCGTCTTCACTGTGGTCCTACGAGCCGAGTGAAAAGTATTAAGAGAAGGGAGTCGAAGAGAAACTTGGTTTGCTCTTATGGCGTTGTAGAGAGAAAGAGGAACGAAAGGGTGGAGGAGGAGGAGGAGGAGGAGGAGGAGGAAATAAGGGGAAAAAGAAGAAGAAGAAAAAAAAAGAAAAAAATAAAAGAAAAAAGGAAAAAAAAAAGAGAGAAAGAAATAACACTGGAGCAAAAAAAAAAAGAAAAAAAAAGAAACGGGAAAAGGAGGAAGAAGATAGAAACGCAAAATAAAGTAGCCAAGGGGAGAAGGAGGAGGAGGAGGAGGTAGAGGTAGAGATGGAGGTTGAGGAGGAGGAAAGAGAAAGAAAAAAGAGGGGAGGAGAAAAAGGAAAACGAAGGAACAGCAGAAGAAAAGAAAAAAAAAAGGAAGAAGAAGAAAAGGAGGAGGAAGAGGAGGAGGAGGAGGAGGAAGAGGTGGAGATGAAGGAGGAGGAAAAGGAGGAAGAAGAAAAAAATGAAACGCCAGCACGGAAGAATAGCGATAAGGTAATATAAATGGAAATTCCGGCGAATCGCGCGAGCAAACACTACGAAGACATAACAACACAGATACCACCACATTATTCTTCTTCTTCTTCGTCTTCTTCTTCTTCTTCTACTTCTTCTTCCTCCTCTTCTTCCTCTTCTTCCTCTTCCTCTTTCTTTTTTCCTTTTTCCGTGCTTCGTAATGGATTCCGTTTTACAGGTTAAACGCTACCGAAAACACGAATATATTTCGGTTTCTACGATAAGCGGCACGCTCGCCTAACCCACCCAACGCCACCCACTTTCACCTTACCCAATCGCGATATCACCATTGCGTTTTATATTTGAAAACTTATGCGAGTCGACGTTTTCTCTCCTACTTCCTCTCTCTCTCTCTCTCTCTCTCTCTCTTTCTCTCTTTTATCCTATCTCGTTCGATATTTCCTTCTCTCTTGTTCTTTTTCTTTTTTTTTTTTGTCTTTTTTTATGTTCACTCTTTATTCTCAACATTTTTTCTTTATTTCCTTTTTTTTTTTGATCTTTCTCTTTTTCTTTTTCTTTCTCCTTAATCCGAAGTGTGATCGATGACGCTCGTAATTGTTGATAATAGGGATAATAAGGAAGAGAGAGAGAGAGAGAGAGAGAGAGAGAGAGAGAGAGAGAGAGAGAGAGGAAGGGGGGAGGGGAAGAGAGAGGAAAAACATTTTATCCGCAATCGTGTCCTCCGGTGGTTGTTAAAATCTCATGGGAGCCGATATAAGATACGATTTCGATTTGAAATTGTGTTGCGCATCGTTGAAAGTGAAAATGAAAAAGAGAGAGAGAGAGATAGTCGATCGAATAACGCGAGCAAATGAAACATGAGCCTGTTCTAATGGAAAACTCGTATTTTTCGACGTATTTTTCTTTTTCCTCTTTTTTTCCTTTTCTTTTTCTTCTTCTTTTTTTTTTTTTTTTTTTTTTTTTTTTTTTTTTTTTAATAAAATCACGGTAAATATGAAATTAACGTGATCAACAACAATTGTCGTTAACGTTGACTCAATGAGATCATTTCGTGAAATTATTAATAATTATTATTATCAATAATTTACTTATCCAATTGTTCCCCTTACGATTTTTACATTTCTATCTTTTCAATTATTCAAGTTCTACATTCTAATCTATCGAAATATATCGTCAATGATAAATTTTACGTGTTATTATTGTGATCGTAATAGAAGAAGAAAAAAACAAAAAAAAAACAAAAAAAAAAAACAAAAAGAAAAGGAAAAGCAAAAAAGAAAGAAGTACGACGATCGATCAGATGTCGAAACAGATGTTCGTTTTAATCGTTTAATTAATAATTGATTAGCAAATCAATGCCAATGTTATCGGTTAAAATTCATCGTTTCATCATTAACGAGTTTCATCATTAACGAGTTTCATCATTAACGAACACACATATCTATACGCATACATTTATATTTATCGTTATAAATTTTCCAAAATTTCTTTTTCACTCTATCCCTTTCTCTCTCTCTCTCTCTCTTTCTCTCTCTCTCTCTCTCTCTCTCTCTCTCTCTCTCTCTCTCTCTCTCTCGTTTACATATTAAAGGTATTAAATACCGCGAGAAGAGAATTACGTGTAAATGAAATATAATAATTGGCATAGCATTATCCCAAATAATTAAATAATTATTGTACAACAGGTATTTGTCTGTGAGTACGTATACACACCTATTGTTATCTCCGTGTCGAAGGTTACGAATAACTTCCCGATGATGAACTATAAATGCATGATATATGTATAAATGATTAATTCCATTAATTATACGAATAAGATAAGTAAAGTTTGTTCCGACCGTATAAATAAATTTTTAAGAAGAAAAATTTCTCGTACGTACGTATGTACACGTTTAAACAGTAATATTATATCAAGAGTATCGCGAAGTACATCAAATTCAAATATATAAATATATATATATATATATATATATGTATGTATGTATTCGAATAGTAAAGACGGATATAAAACTTTTATCGTAACATAACAATAAGGTAAAAAAAAGTTCTGAAAAGAAAAAGAAGAAAAGAAAATAAAATAAGATAAATAAATAAGTAAAAAGAGAGACAAAAAAAAAATAGGAAAAGAGAAAAAAGGAAAAAACAAAGGTAAGAGAATGTTTAATAACAGACATAAGATGACTGTGTTGTTACGCTCTTATCGAATCGATCATTGAAACATAGCCGTTCGTACCTAATTAATTATTAAAATATAAGGAATGAGATTGTTATCCATATATTCGGATGACTCTTGTAAACGGAAAAAATGAAATAAAAACCAAAAAAAGAAAAAAAAAAAACAGAAAAAAAGAAAAAACAAAATAATGAAAAATGAAAATAATAAAATATCTTCGAATACGGACAATACATTTTCATACTTTCTATGTCCGAAATTAATATATCTAACATACAATATGTACGTACGCGTTCTGTCGTAATTTTATTCTCTCGTTTATGTACCGAACCGAAACCAAACCCAAAAAAGAGAAAATGGAAAAAAAAAGACAAAAAAAAAGAAAAAAAAAAAGAATAAAACAAAAAGAGGAAAGAGAGAAAAGTAAAAATAAAGTAACATATAAAAAAAAAAAAAAAAAGAAAAACAAAACGGTAAATAAATGAATAATTATTGAAACGGGAGGATCGTGCTTCCGGAAAAACCTAACTGAAAAGTAAAAAAAAAGAAAAGAAAAAAAAAAAGGAAAAAAAAAAGAAAAAGAAGGAACGAAAAAAAGGATGACTCCGGCGACGGCGGCGGCGGCGGCGATCAATGGTTCTAAACGAATCTTCTAGGTGAGATGTTGCGCTAGAAACTCTAGTTAGCTTAAATATTAAGATGTAATCTGTGAAAAGAAGGAACGATACCTAAGTGTGTAAATGAAACATTTTGTTTATTATTTATTAATACCCCTCCCTAACGATCGCATCATATCATTGTTACAATTTAAATGAACGGGCACGTAATAAATATGCCATCGTATCGGCATTACTATGAATGTATAAAATTTATCTATATCAAATATATATATATATATAAATATATATATGTGTATATATATATATATATATGTATATTACAAGAAAAAAAAAGATATCTTTCGCTCACTTACATACATACATACATACATACATACATACATACATACATACATACATACATACATACATACATACATACATACATACATACGTACATACATATATCTCTTTAGAATAAAAATGGCAGTAAAGTAAATAAAGGCAAATATTACTTACTTACGAAACATTATCATATGCTACGTAACATCATATAGAAATCTATTCGATCGTAATAAAATAATACGAAACGAATGTAAATTTTATTTTAAACTAAACTGATAAGAATCTAACGAAAAAAAAAGAGAGATAGATAGATAGATAGATAGAAAGAAAGGGAAAAAGAAAGGAGGGGGGGGGAGAGAGGAGAAAAAAGAAATAACTTAGAACACAACGTACCATACGTGACATGATGATAAAACAGAAGAGAAAAAGAGTGAAAGAGATAGAGAGTTGGAAAAAATGAGAGAGAGAGAGAAAGAGAGAGAAAGACAAATGCGTCTGGTATTTGCAATATGACAACAACTGATTTTCATTCGTTCGAAGTTGCGAATAATAATAATAAAAAAAAAAAAAAAAGAACAAAAAGAAGGAAAGAAAAAAAAAACGAAACAAAAAAAAAAGCTGGTGTTATGAAACGTTTATAGCAATATTTTTCCCTATCCCTCTCTCTCTCTCTCTCTCTCTCTTTTTCTTTTTCTTCCTCTCTATTATAATATTTCTCTCTTTTTATATCTCAAAAGTATCCAATTAATACCGACGAACGGGTAATTCGTCGTCAGAATATTTCGTAGTACAAGAACCAAATTTAATTTCTCGACTCGTTGAATAGTGCCGAGTGAGAGAGAAATAGAAAGAGAAAGAGAGAGAGAGAGAAAAAGAGATAGATAGATAGATAGATAGATAGATAGATAGATATATATATATAGATATATAGATATGTAGATAGATATATAGATGGAAACTTTTTCATGTGCAACATCTACGCCGTGGAAATATTCTCGTATCGACTCGAGCTCTTGGATAATGAGGAAACGATGCAAAGTGACCGTTCCTCGTCGAACGTTCCTCCTCCTCCTCCTCTTCTACCCCGCGATTCGAGTGGTGCCTCTGTAACAGCTGTTGCCTCTGCTCCAAATAGTAATCCCGTTCTCTCGGTCGCTGTCGATCTGAAAAAATACAAAGTGAGTTAACATCACGAGGAACGATCGAACGTTATAATCATCGAACTCTCTCTTTTATTCCTTCTATTCTTCCTTCCATCTCCATCATCGTCTCAATCAACTTCTTTACCTTCTCATTTTCCCTTTACTGACTTAACTTTAACGCAACAACGTTTTCAAATTATTATTTACCATAAGGATTTCCTTTGTTATTGGTAACTTTGATAACTACCTAGAAACTTTTTGATTAACTTTACGGTAAGTACTTTAAGTACGGTAAGTAATTTATTATTATTAATATTATTATTATTGTTGTTGTTGTTGTTATTGTCGCTGTTATTATTATTACTATTATTATTATT